TTGATTTTTTTTTTTTTTTTTTTTTTTTTTTTTTCCTTCGGCTGCTGTCAAACATCATGAATCACCCTGGCTCTGCTGACTTGATGGCAGCGCACGCTGTTCCCTGTCCTCGTCCTCATCGTCGCTATCCTCGCTATTTTCGCTATCTTCGCTATCCGCGCTCACTTCCTCTCCCGACCGTCGACGCTCCTCCCTCTTACTCCGTCGTTGCTCGCGGTACTCTCGGTATTTCCGAGCTCGCTCACCTGATCAGTCTTGTTAGCCTCGTATGTGAGAAAGAGGGAAAGGTTTCCCTTACTTCGAATCTCGTGCGTCCTAATGGCATACGCTTGGATTTCCTCCTTCGTCAACACCCGCAGCACAAACACACAGTCGGGCTGCTCGTCCGTGATCGAGAACCGATCTTTCCCCTCCAGAGCCTCCGGGTTAACTAGCCGGCGGTCAATTCTGGTCCAACGTGCGTCCAGGGGAATGCCCTTCTTCTGAGCCTCGTCTTTCAGGGGTGCCACGCCCGGCCGCACCGGGTTCGGGTCTTCCGGGAATTTCTCCCGGGGGGGCTTCAAGATGCCTCTAATCTGTGGCTCTGACTCCGTTGGCTTCTTGAAGTCCTCCTGGCTGCTACTCGGGACATGTCGGCTGGAGTGGCGGCCCTCTGGCATACGGGTCCGCGAGCGCGAAGTCCTGCGCGAACGTGGTTCTTCGATCGCTAAGGGTTGAGATCCGTTATCCGACGGCGATTCACGACGAGCGGGCGACTCACGCTGATATGCGCGGAGGTCATCTTCAGAAGTATAGGGATCCGCGTCAGTCTCGTACCGTCTAGACGACCGACCGGGTCGACCATGATGTCTAGTGTGATCATATCCGTAAGGGTAGTCGGCCCAATCACTTTCGTAGCCGCTGGCCAGGACCGCTGTGCCCAGGCCGGTCCCAGTGCCTGTCACCGATCCACTAGCAGAGTCAGTGCGACTGTGGCCCCTCGATGATCGGTAGTCATCATCGCGGCTGTCGTGACGGTGATGACGATGGCGTCGATGGCGGTGGCGATGGCCGTCATGGTGGCCGTTATAATGGCCATCATCGTAGTGGCCATCTCGGTAAGAGGAATGGTAGCCATCGTCCCAATCCTGATGTAAGGCTACTGGAGCCCTGTGGGACGCTCGTGAGCCAGTTGACTCACGATCGCTATTGTAAGTTGAATGCCGGGTGAGCCCTTCCAACTTGTCAAACCCTCTCTGCGATGGAGGGGGCCCGTGAGGACGTGATTCGTTCTTCAATGATGACGGTATATAATGGCCCTCCACCCCGGTCAAGCTCAGAGGACGGCTGTGGCGGTGAGCTCCACGACCGCGGTTTAGGCGATCCATCCGGTCCTTTTCCATCTGCTCTTGGGTGGTGTAGGAGTAAGAACCCCAGTCGTCAAAGTCCCCTTGGCGAAGGCTTTCCACAGTAGGGTACCTTGGTCGAGTACTGCGCTCGCCATGATATCCCCCATGTCTTCTCCGCGGCCGGACCAGCCGGTTAGAATCATTTGTATAGTACAAGCGACGATGTGAATGACGGGGCGATGCTGGTACCAGATACCCTTGGTCCGAGGTCCAAGGACTGGAGGAGCGACCATAATTCGGTGTGATGATAGGAGAAGCTCTGTTCTGTACGTTGGGGGACACGGTGACTTTTAACGGAGCAGGGTGACGACCGTCCGCAGCAGAGGTGCTACTCCGCTGGCGAGGACGGATGGTATATTCCGTCCGCAATTTAGAGGTGGACTGATCCGGGCTTCGATAGGTGGAAGAGGAGACAGGGTGAGCCTCGAGTCGGGATCGGCTTAATCGAGGATCATAGGAATTCGTGTAGGGAATATCTGCGGTAGACTGGCTGCTACTGCGTCCGTGACGACCGGTAGAAAGATCGTAGGGCTCGTTGTAGGATGCGCCGGGTTGCATTGTTCCAGTGGACGCCCGCATCGGATCGATCACACGTTTGTCGGGGGGCGACATGGCCCGAGGACGTGGGGACGAACCCATGATGGACCCTGGTTTTCTTGCAGGGAGCGGCTGCAGCTGCACGTGTTGGATTGGATTTGGTTACTCGAGCACTGCAATAGTTGAGATGCTGTAGAGGTAGTTACAGTCAATGGAAAGACTGATGTTGTGGCACTGAATGCGATGGATTTGACGACAGATGGTTATATATGGCACTGGGCAAACAACAGCCCGACAAAGTGAGGCGAAGAATTTAAAGCGGACAAGAATCTAAATGAAAAAAAAGAAAAAAAAAAAAAAAAAAAAAAAAAAAAAAAAAAAA